ATTCGGTGGAAGATAGTATTCCTAAGAACATTAAGTACTTTTGGTCTTATGTTTCCTCAAAAAAAAATAAAGCTGATTTTCCTGCCAGTATGTACTTTGGTAGCGTTCATACCGACGACGCCACTGAAATATGCAATTTGTTCTCATCTTTTTTTTGTTCAGTGTATGAGTCCTCTTCATTTGATCCGAACACATGGCAGCCATCTCATCATTATGCAGAAAACTCTACAAGCCTATCTGAAATTTACTTGCCCAAGGAGGCTGTCCGCACGACGCTTAAGTTTCTTGACTCTTCTAAGGGGGCTGGACCTGATGGTCTACCACCGTGTCTTTTCATAAAAACGTGTGACAATCTATGTACTGCCTTGCATATAATATTTAATAAGTGTCTGCAGGAGGGTGTCTTCCCGGCTGTTTGGAAGCGTGCTTTTGTTACTCCTGTTTATAAAAGTGGTGACAAGAGCAATGTGGAGAACTACCGCCCTATTTCCATTCTCTCCACTTTGTCTAAAGTTTTTGAACGCTTGTACATGGTGCTATATATTCTCATATTCACCCACTTATCATACCTGAACAACACGGTTTTGTTAAGCGTCGCTCCACTGTTACGAATCTTATGACATTCACTAATTTTTTTTGAGAATATGGATCGGCGAGTCCAGGTGGATGCCGTCTATACGGATTTTCGGAAGGCATTTGACAAGGTGGATCATGCATCTTCTGGAGAAAATCGCATATAATGGAATTCGAGGCAATCTGCTCCGCTGGTTTGCTTCCTATATATATAACAGGACACAGAAAGTCGTCGTAAATGGTTATGAATCGGACCTCGTGACTGCTGAATCTGGTGTTCCTCAAGGATCGATTCTAGGCCCCCTTCTATTTATAATTTTTATTAATGACATTGGACAGTGTTTCGTCAACACACATTTTTTAATGTATGCTGATGACATTAAAATCTACATGTCTTGCAGATCTGAGTCTGACTGTATGCGACTTCAGGAAGACCTTGACAGACTTAACGTATACTGTAATAGTAACAAACTTTTTCTCAGCCTCCCTAAATGTCACTCCATCTCATTACAAAAAACAAAAACAAAATTCAGTACGATTACTCTATAAATAATGTTGGATTAGCGAAGGTCAACTATGTTCGTGACTTAGGTGTAACTTTGGATTCTTGTCTGCATTTCGACCTTCACGTTGATAATATAATCAGTAAGGCCTTTAAGATGTTTGGTTTCGTATTGCGATCGGCCAGTGACTTTGTGCGCCCCTCTACATTTTTGCAGTTACACAAAACCCCGATACGGTCACAGCTTGAGTACGCTGTTGTAATTTGGAATCCATTCTATAATAAGTATAGGTCTAGATTGGAAATGGTACAGAAAAAGTTCCTGCGATCTGTAAATTTCAAATGTTATCATTCAAAACTTCCATACGAACAGTTGCTTACACGTTATAATTTGCTAAGTCTAGAGTCTAGACGTTTGCTTTTGGCTGTTATGATGCTTCATGGCTTGTGTTAATAATAGATTTGACTGCATGGACTTGACCAATCAACTATTTTACGCAGTTCCTAGGTCAGTAACACAGAGGGGGGTGCGGGTTCCGCGTTTGTTCCACACTAACAAGTGCAGGACTAATGCCGGGGCGCGCGCGCCTCTTCGTCGCTTAGTGGAAATATACAACTTGCATTTCATGGGTCTGGACATGTTTTGTCTTTCAAAACATAGATTTAGAAAGCAGGCCGTGGAGCTTCTGACTGCTGGGTTGCTGCAGTGATGGTTGGCTATTAATTAATTAGTATTCTTTTTCTTAATCATAAGTACAGTGTACAATGGTTTTTTTTTGTATCAATATTTAGTAGGTAAATTTTAATATAATTAAATTACGATAGCGCTACAGCAACACGGTCATTATTGCCGTTATACTTTATATTAAATTGTGGGCAATGGTGTGGGTTACATATTTATTGTAGCTGTTGTTTAATGTAAAACTTTTATGTAAAATCTTAATATGTAACTGTTTTTTGTCCCTTAAATAAATAAATAAATAAATAAATAAATAAAAGAATTATATAGAAAAAATTGCAATCGAAATGAGAAACTCATTTTTAGAAGTCGTTTAAAATGGACAGTCGATTTGATTGGATAGCATAATTTTTGACAATACATATTACACAATACATAGTAAAAACATCAATATTGTACATACAAAACAATTTTAATATAATTAGATAACAAGATATGAAAATCTATTTAGTCCATCAGTTAGATAATGGAATATTGTCATTCATTTTGTGAAAATAAGACAAGATATCTCGATACAACGAATCGTGTACTTGCCAACTAGTCAAATTCAATACTTTTTTCGAACTGTCAAAAACGACAGTTTCCTATGAATTTTGTACGAGATTGTGTATTGTGACGTCACGTTTTTTAGCGTCAAACAAAGTAGTTATTTCTTAAAAATTTGCTGGGAAAATACTAAAATTAAGTTGGTCATAAAATCAGTTAATGAAAGTGTGATTATTTTTTAATATTTTATTGTATTGAACAGTCGAAATAATTTATTTTTGACTAAGGCAAATACCCAATTTAAAATCAGCCAGTAAAAAGCCGAGCAATAAAGTAAATGACTAAATTTTATTACAATGTCCATCTGGTAGATTATTTAAAAACATTACACTCGTATTTTTTATTTTCTTACAGAAACGAATACTTTCGACGATATATTGATTTGAAATATCGACATGACGTCACTTCTATGTACATTTTATACGTAGAAATGACGTTTTAGCTCCCACTCCTAAACTTTGATTCGTTTTATCTAAGTATTGTTTTATTATACGACAAAATAAAAAAATACGTGTCTAATATTTTTTCATTACCTAACTGACGGACTAATTAGATTTTTAATTTTCATACCCAGTAATCATGTTTGTCAAGTGTCAAGTGGTACTAGAATGGCACTATATAGTGTCTGTAGGCAGCTGTTGTCTGTCTGTCACGATTTTTGGCAGTAGGGACGAGTGGGCTTCTCATAACACACTCCTGTAAAAAAGAAAAGGGATTCTTTAGTAATTTGATTGTGGGTTCGATTCTTCGGTCGTGTTTATAGTATTCACTTAACATCCACGGCCTATAAGTGGTTGTTGAGCGAAGGCCTCTTCTCACACGGAGAAGGTTTGAGCATTAATCACCACGCTTGCTCACAAAGTTATAATTAGAAATTATAAGCCCAGGTTTCCTCACGATGTTTTCCTTCACAGTGTGTCAGTGGTGTCTAAATAATCTTAGAAAGTACATATAACTCGGAAAACGTCACATTGGTACTTGCCGTTGGTAGGTTTCGATCACACGCTCATGCGTAAGAAGCGGGCGTCTTAAACCTCCGGGCCACCACGACTATTTTACAGTATTAGGTTTAAAAAAGTCAAAATTTTAACGATGTGGACCATCTATTTGTGCGGGAATTGAACCCACGATAAATCGCTCACTTGTACCAATTGCCACCAAAGACAAAATAGACTAAGATTTTTGGAAATACTCGACTATACTTTGCTATACTTGGGAATCGAACCCAAACCGATACTATACAGATTACTTATATTAAAGTAAAGTAAATAAATAACGATTCAATTCTTAACAATAAATGTATGAAAAGGATTTTCACAAGATAAAATAGAAAATAAAATAATATGACGGGGAAAAGGAAGAAGAGCGGATAACAAATAAAACAATAAGTGTGGGAGAGCCATGCTTCGGCACGAGTGGGCCGGCTCGACCGGAGTGATACCACGGCCTCATAGAAAACCGACGTGAAGCAACGCTTGCGTTGTGTTTCGTCGTGTGAGTGAGGTTACCGAAGGTCTAATTCCCCTCCCCAGTCTCCCCAATCCCAGAATCCTCCACAATCCTCAAATTCCTAATTCCCAAAAGGCCGGTAACACACTTATAACGCCTTGGTGTTTCAGTGTATATGGACGACGCCGATTGCTTACCATCAGGTGATCCATCTTCTCGTTTACCGGCTTATTACCGGGTGGGAGTGTAATTGTGTAAACAACCACAAACTTCTCCAAATTGTCTGGGCCTCAATATATTTAATTTTTGTTTTTTTTTCGGAATAGAAGGCAAACGAGCATCTTCTGATGGTAAGCGATCAGCGCCGCCCATGGACACCCGCAACACCAGAGGAGACACAGGTGCATCTGCTGGTGCATCTGTTTGTCGAATAAATGCTTTTCCTTTTCATTTTTATTACATAGTTCGTTAGTCTAAGTCAAAATAATTTATTTCAATTAGACCAGGAATGCACTTTTGACCGTCAAAACAAAATATTGGAACATTAAAAAATGTCAGTCCTCTAGTTGCTCTATTTGCTCTTTCCAAGGTGTAGATTCCTATGTAGAAGAACGAGTAAGAAACTCCATAGGTTACTCTTTTACAATCAGTTTCACAATACAATTCTTCGGGTACATTGTTTTAACGAAACAAGGTGGTAGGTCGACCTAATAAAAACGAGTTAATCTGTACTAATATTATAAAGAGGAAAGATTTGTACTTATTTTTGTATGTTTGTAATGAATAGGCTCAAAAAGTACTGGGCCGATTTAAAAAATTCTTTCACCAATAGAATGCTACATTCTTCCAATTTGACATAGGTTACATTTCATTTTGAAAAAAAATTGGGATCCTTGGTAAAATTTGAACAATGTAACCGAAGGTGTAGAAAAATGAGTCCTAAAATGGGTTTCGTCGAATGCGCTGCCGAAACTATTAGCGATAGAACAATATAATGTACAACAATATTGAAGAACATCATAATGTCTACAAAAAACTCCGCGGTAGCATATGTCCAACTATTGTAGTTATGTCACTACAACAATCCAAATTTCCAAAAATAAATAATTGTCTACCCCGTGCGAAGCCGGGACGGGCTGCTAGTAAATTATAAAGGGGAAGGAATTAATGATCAAAATGCCATTATCACCGTTAAAGGAAGAGCACGGGCCTGTCATGTTGGTCCTGTTCAGTCCTGTCCCTGTCAGTCCTGTCCCTGTCGGAGCCGCTGGAGGTAGACTTGCGTTCGTCCCTGGCGGTCTCCTTGCCAGTCACCCGCTCCGACCCGCCACTGGAGCCCCCGGAACCGGATACAACGCTTTCTTCTCTATTGTACCTGTAAAAATAAGACATACATAACATCACGCCTTTTATCGCCGAAAGGGTAGGCAAAGGTGCACATTACGGCACTTAATGTCACTGTACAATGTAACATCCAATTTTCACTATTTATATTATGCCATGTAATAGGGGGTGAGCCTATTGCGCCTATTGCCATATACCGGGCACAATTCCAGACTCTGACTACTGAGATTTTTTTTTAAACCCATTAATACTTTGCCGAACCGGGAATCAAACCCAAGACCCCTTGCCTGACAGTCGCAATTGCGACCACTCTGTCAACGAGGCAGTAAAAACAAGAATAAAGTTAAATGTCATGTATATTATAAGACGCTAGCTGTACGCCCGACTTTGTTCACGAGGGAAAAGTAGCCTAAATAATACTTAGTACACAGCTACTTGCCAAAAAAGTCCCGTCAAAATCGGTCCAGACATTTCAAAGATTAGCCAGTACAGAAAGACAGATAAAAATTGTAAACAATGTTAGAATTTTCATCTGTTTGTCTGTATGTATGTCCGGGCTAAACTCAAAAATTACTGCATGGATTTACTTCAAATTTTGCATGAATATTACTAACAGGTCGGGTCAACGTATAGACTATACATTATCACGCTATCATCTACGGGGGAGAAGATGTCAAACTAATCTAAGCAAGAAGCTATGTATATGGTATTTATATTTTGGAATGAGCACCTAGCTTCACTGACGGACTGAGTGACAGACTATTATTTATTTTGTATTTGTTGACATTTCAAATTATGGTACCAAATTATGGTTTAATTGAAATAAATGCTTTGACTTTGAAACATTATTGTACATTATTTACGTACTATCAAAAGTTACTATTCTACGCAGACAAAGTCACGGGCATAGCTAGTAAAAATATAGTAATTTAGATTGAAACTCACCCATAGACAGTATGTTCGCTGTTGAGACAGGAGGAATACTTGAATGGTATAGGCTGGTACCCGTAGGAGCCTGCGTACGGCATGTAGCCTGGACCCATTATACTGAAAATTACAAACATACAATTATTATCAATTTATTAAAGTTAATATACACTTGGGAGCTGTATATATCTAGTATGTCGTGGTGGCACGGAGGTTTAAGACGCCCGCTTCTCATAGATGAGAGTGCGAGGTAAAGGTAACTTAATATACTATAAGGTTAATTAACATACTGGAACCTATTTGAACCTTTTTGCTATGCTACATGTAACAAATATCATCTTATTTGACTTAATATTATAAATTTGACACTTTGTGTATTTCTTTACGGGACGAGTTGGCAAACGAGCAGACGGATCACTTGATGGTAAGCAATCAGCGCAGCCATTGGATATCCGCAACACCAGAGGAGCCAAAGGTGCGTTGCCGGCGTTTTAAAAAGGAATACGCTCTTTTCTTGAAGGTTTGAAGGTCGTATCGGTTCGGAAACGACAGATCATTCCACAGTTTTGCTGTGCGAGGCAGGAAGCTACGTGAGAACCGCACAGTAGTGGCCTGCCAACCATGTATATGATGGGGATGCATATGCTGTGGTAAGGGTCGATGGCTCGTTTATCGGCTTATTTCATAAAATACCTGAGCGTGGGGAGCGTCGCGTTCCGCGCGACACAAAGCACCATCAGACCACCACAGATGGGGCCCAACAAGGCTGATGACGATACGGAACCGCGGAGAACTTAACGGGTTACCGGGGCTCCGGCTCGACGTGCAGGAGAAGGAACGGGGTGGTTTTTAGTCAGTAAGAGTCTGACACTCCCTCCCGCCTCACCCGGGTGGGGTCACAATGCTAGGGTCCAGTACGTACTTGGGGTTGGGCAGCGGCGCGAGCGTGTCGCTGAGCAGCGAGTCGGTGTCGGCGGCGCGCAGGCGCAGCGCGGCCAGCTCGGCGCACAGCTCGCCCGCCACGTAGTAGCACTGCTCCGAGAACGTGATCTTGTTCACCGTGTGCCGGATGAACCCGGCCTGCGGACACACGCTTGCATTACTAATGATACGAAACACGTATTCAACAACACGATATAACGTCACGCTTTTTTATCACATGCACATTACGGCACTTAATATATTTTGGCATGGCGCAATATTTTTTTTTTTCTTTGATGAGTCTACGTTTGACCACTATCTCGCCTCCCAAGGGTCTCCGGTTTGGGCTAGCTGCCATTGCAGCGCTAAGTCCCCTCTTTGAGGAGTGGCTTGAGAGACGCTACGGCGTCCTCACCTACCGCCTGACGCAGGTCCTCACCGGACATGGAAGTTTCGGGAGGTACCTGTGTCTGATGGGGCGGGAGGAAACGCCCGGGTGTCATCACTGCGAGGACCGCCCTGAGGACACGGTGGAACACACTGTAGCGGAATGCCCTGCGTAGGCTGAGCACCGCCGTGCCCTCAGGGAAGTGATCAAAGTGTCATGATGCGGAGCAAGGAGGACTGGGATGCCGTCTCCTCCTTTTGCGAAGCAGTCATGCTAGCTACGCGTCCCGCCTACGCGTGAGGCAGCGAAGCGCTGCCTCCTCGCGACCCAGCCATCGCGAAGGACACACCGGGCGTCGGGGATCGCGGGACGATCTCCGGCCACCGTAAGCGCGGGCCTGCGGACGGCGAGCATGGGTGGCTCCCCGTCCGACCAGAAACAGACCCGAGCGTACGGCGCCGAGCGTTCCGCGCGCGCCTCAAAGAGCCATCAGACCGCCACGGATGGAGCTCAACAGGCCCTATGCCGATTCGGAGAACCTAACGGGTTACCGGGGCTCCGGCTCGACGTGCAGGAGTAGGAACGGGGTGGTTTTTAGTCAGTAAGAGTCTGACACTCCCTCCCGCCTCACCCAGGCGGGAGCAGTCATTCGATGTTTTTTTGATGATTAAAAAGATCTCAGTAGTCTGGGATTGTGCCCAGTATATGGCAATAGGCCCCCTATTACATGGGACTCATAACATAAATAATGAAAAGTGGGTGTTGTATTGTACAGTGGCATTAATTAAGTGCCGTAATGTGATCGCCACATGAGGAAGGAAATCGCAGCTTTTGAGGGCTGCTACGAGGTGGGACCTGCCACAATATAGTGGTAGGTCGAGGCCTGCCGGGGGCGGTGAATCCGCGAGGGCGTCCCAGGTCACGGCCACAGGCAGGGGAGGAACACGGGTTTTAGCCGGTAAGGGGGCGTCCATAAAATACGTGAGGTATTTTTTTTAATTGTCTGTCCTTCCCTCCCCCCTTGGTGAGATTTCGTGAGAATTTATTCAACACCCTCTCCCATCCCCCAATCTCACGTGAGATTTTTGAAAATGTTGGTTTTTCACGTTAACGCTTTGGATTGATATTGTAAAAAGAAAAAAAATCCATGTGCATGTACAATTAAATCTTAAGCATGTACAATCTGGAATAAATCAACTATGAAGTCGGTAAAAATAGTATGTTTGTTTTGTTTCTATCAGAAAAAAAAATACGTGATATTTGCCGAGACGCCCCCTCTCTCCAACGTAAGATTAGATGAGATTTGAGTCTACTCCCTCCCCCCTCCATCTCACGTAATTTATGAACGCCCCCTAAGAGACCGGCACCCCCTCCCCCATCGTCCCCACGGCGTGGGGAGTTCATGAGGAATTCCATCGCGTTACAAAAATATTGTAATATTTGTTTTTATATAATTCTTGGTATAATACCTATGACATACCTTGAGCATATGCGAGGCATATTTCCTGGCGTCCCTCCGGTCCGTGATCCCCGCGACGTGTTGCAGTATCCAGTCCACTACGTCGGCGCCTATGAACGCGTTCGGTATTGTGATCTTCAACCACATGCGGTCACGGATCTCCAGACCTGGAGGAAATTGAATATATGTTTATGATTTCAAGTATCATTATTAACTCATAACATAAATAGTGAAAAGGGGGTGTTACATTGTCCAGTGACATAATGTACACTTCTGCCTACCCCTTCGGGGGTAAAAGTTATGTTAATTTTTAACGATTGGCAAATAAGGAATCTCAGGATCGATTCCCAGGTCAGACCAATGTTGTTGAGTATTTATTATTTACTTCACTATTTATGTTATGGGTCCCATGTTACAGGGGGTGAGCCTATTGCCATATACCGGGCCAAATTCCAGACTCCGTGCTACTACTGAGAATTTTTTAAAAACCCAGTAATGCTTTGCCCTACCCGAGACCCCTTGACGGCAGTCGCACTTGCGACCACTCGGCCAACGAGGCAGTCGTCTTTCTTCTTTCTTTCTAATATTAATTCTTACATCTTTAACTGGACTTACCCGACTCCGGCCTCAACATGGCTCGGACCACCAGCGCCATATCCATGTTCACAGACAGCTGGGGCTCCAGGGCTCCAGCGGGGACCGTACTGGCGTCACTGGCGCCCCGCTCCGAGACTGACGACACGGGAGGGCTGACAATGAGGGTGGGGGCGGAGGGTAGGCCTCTCGAAGCGCTTGGGTATGAGCTACCCATGCTCCTGTGGAATTTAAACATTGATTTTATTAGATATATATAAAAGTATGACAGTTTCGGATGTTTATTTATTTATTTATTTATTCATTGTCCCTCTATTTCAGGCAACCGGTGGCCCATATAAAATATAAAAATACAATAAACAATTTTATGTGATAAGCCGATATGTGACAATCGGCGTCACCCATGGACACTTAAAAAACCAGAGGCGTTACAAGTACGTTACCGACCTACGTAGAGATTGGGGAAGGGGGTGATTGGGCCTTCGGTAACCTCACTCACGCGACGAAACACAACGCAAGTGTTGCATGCATAGAAGTGTGGGAGAGCCATGCTTCGGCACGAATGGGCCGGCTCGACCGGAGGATACCACGGCCGAGCAGAAAACTGGCGTAAAACAACGCTTGATGTTTCTCCGTGTGAGTGAGGTTACTGGAGGCCCAATCTCCAAAATCCTAAATTCCTTAAATCCCAAACGGTTGGTAACGCACTTGGAAAGCCTCTGATGTTCCAGGTGTCTATGGGCGGCGTCGATTGCTTACCATCAGGTGATCCGTCAGCTCGTTTGCCTGCAATATCCACTTACCCGGGTCAATAGGTCTGACAGGCTCTGTCCTGGGTATAGTGAAGTATCCTTTGGGGTTGGGGTCCCAGCATTTGGCTACCACCAGCTTGATGGGGCCAGGTTTTTGCACCACCTCGCGTAACACCCTCACGGCTTCATCATTTGTCATATCTTCGAAGTTCACGTCGTTCACCTGGAATTGTGGTTTGTACGGGTTAGTTATGTTCGATTCTTGGGCCGAGTAAATTAACCCGTCGAGCGTCCGCGTTCCTTATGATCCAACGGGTGCACACGTGACATTTGGAGAAAGAAAGAAAGAAAATGCATTTATTTGGCCATTGGCACACGAAAACAAGGATCATTACAATAGAAATAAAAAATATAGTCAAAATAAAAACAAAACATTAATAATAGATTTTATAAAAGAGAAAGTAGCATGGAGCATTTTTTCTTATGATCCACCGGGTGCTCATAAGGACGCTAGAGGGGTTAATGTTATTTTTTTTTGTTTCATTATTTTTAGTCAATAGTTAAGTCAGTGTAAGTCTCTTTTTGATTTTGTTATGTCTTGTTTTAAATCAGTAATTAGGTACATTGATTTAGTTTGAGGCCTAAACTATCGCAATGGAGAAAACTGTAATGATAGTTTTAGGTAAGGTTTTAAATAAAATAAATAATAAATAAATGTTCGATTTTAGATACGAGACTTTAAGTCAATCAGTCAGAAGTATGTATAAAGTACTAGCTTTTACCCGCGGCTTGGCTCGCGTCAAAAAGGATAAAAAGCCAATGTGACATATACCAATACACACAGCGCCATCTATACCAATACTTTTGTTTTCCGGGATAAAAAGTACCCTATTATTTAATCCGGACTTCTAACTATACATCTGCAAAAAATCAGAGTAATCTGTTTAGTTTTTTTTTTTTTTTTTTTTTTTTCCCCATTTCTACTTCTGGTTTTGTTACTATACGTGAATGGTCCCAGTATTGCATTTTCTCCAGGGCGTCTGGCTCCGATTTGCCCATTGAAGTCTCCCATTATTATCAAATTTTTATGAGCGTGTTTTTTAATTGCTTCGTTTAAATCATGGTAGAAGGTATTAATAGTTTCTAAATTTGATTGCTCTGTAGGTGAATAAATTTGTACAATAGACCATGAGCTCTTGTATCCTGGTAGTTTCACATTCATAATAGCTATGCGCTCTGAGATTCCAATAAATTCTTCTACATAATTTTTAATGTGATCCTTGATAATAAATCCTACTCCATATTGACCCTGTGTCTCCCCTATCTGGTACAGTAAGTAGTCGGGATGAGAATTAATACTTTCACCCATTCTTCTCACTTCGCTCATACCCAGGATATCCCATTTAATTTGTTCTAATGCTTGCGTTAGTTCCGTTAGATTTTCTTCTCTTCTCAGAGTAAGTACATTAAGGGATGCGATATGTATTACTGAATTTTGGTGATTACTGTTTTCCAATCTTGGAGGGTTGTGGTCGCTTTCCCCCACGAGGACCAGTCGGCTTGGGGGAGCTTGAATTTTTTTCGTTTCTTTTGTGGCGGTTTCTTTGGTTGGTTTGGCTTTCCGTTTTCCGTTCTGTATTTGCTATTGGTTTTACATTTAAATTAACAAATTTTGCATTACAAAACAATCTAACAATCCTAAATACGAAGTACAAGAAAAACCGGAAAAATATGTGGACCTGGATCTCACCTGATAACCAAACAAAAAATGAAATTGACTTTATTATGACAAACAGAACCAGTTACTTCACCAACTTCAGTGTCATTAAGAGATTTAATTTTAACACCAATCATAGATTAATAAGAGCGGAACTAAAAACAAAGCAACCAAAGAAGCCAAGACCAAGGAAATATTCATTTGATACAAAACTCAGCAAATACCAAATAGAACAAATAACAACATCCCTGAAAGACAAATTAGAAAACTTTGAGGATAATACAAAGGAACTAGGAATCCAGGAAAAATACAACTATTTAGAGCATACAATCAAAACAGAGACAAAACTCATTGCAAACAACAAAATTGATACAAAAAAAGAGCTATCAACAACTACAGTACAACTTTTAGAAGAACGAAAGAACCTTCTCAGTGCAAGAAGCACCCAAGATAGAAGAAAGGAACTAGTGAACATAAACAAGGAAATTAAGGAAAGCATGAGAAAGGACAGAAAACAAAGGAGAATGGAAATACTAGAAAAATATATAGTGAATACAGGTGGAACCAAAAAAGCTCTGAAGGAACTAACACAAACAAAGAACTGGATAGTAAAAATGAAGGACGAACGAGGAAAATGGAAACATCATAGAACTGACATATTAGGGATAGCTACCTCATATTACAGGAACCTTTACAGAAGAAGCACTACGCAAGGTGAAATCGAATTATTAGAAACCTCGAATATTCCAGCCATTCTCCAAGCTGAAGTCAAAATAGCTATTGAAACCCAAAAGAATGACAAAGCACCCGGACCAGATGGCATAAGCAATGAAATTTTGAGATACAGCCAGGAGATTCTGACACCTATTCTCACAGATATGTTCAATGATATTATAGAAACTGAAACGATTCCCCAACAATGGACGGAGTCTAACATCATTCTACTGTACAAGAAAGGAGACAAATATAACATCGGCAATTATCGCCCTATTAGTCTCATGTCGAATATGTATAAGACTTTTGCTAAGATCATCTTAAAACGAATCGAAAAATCTCTGGACGAACACCAACCGATCGAGCAAGCAGGATTTCGCAAAAACTATTCAGTTATCGATCACATCCATGTAGTGCGTCAAGTTATAGAGAAATATAACGAATACCAGCTGACATACTACATCGCATTTATAGATTACAGTAAAGCATTCGATTCTCTAACACATGAAAAAATATGGGAGGCACTACTGGAACAAGGAATCGAACAGAAATATATTCGACTAATTAAAAATATATACAGCCATAGCACAGCAAGAATCCAGTTAGAAAAGAAAAGTAACTCTTTCAAAGTGGAAAAAGGTGTAAGACAGGGAGATCCACTATCTCCGAAGCTATTCTCTGCAGTGCTCGAATCAATCTTCAGAAGACTAAATTGGGAACATTTTGGCTTAAATATCGATGGCGTATTAATGTCACATTTGAGATTCGCTGATGATGTAGTGCTACTGGCAAAATCAGCAGAAGACTTGAATACAATGATAAAAGCACTTGCATCAGAAAGCGAAAAAGTTGGATTGAAACTGAACCCGGAAAAGACCAGAGTGATGACGAACGGAACAAACCATACTATAGAATTAGAAAACACCGAAATTGACTATACTGATGAGTACGTCTATCTGGGACAGCTGATAAGCCAAAAAGAACAAATGCAAAAAGAAGTGGAGAGAAGAATTACAAGCGGCTGGAAGAGATACTGGAGCTTAAAAGAGGCTATGAAAGACAAAACACTTCATATAAACATTAAAAGTAAACTGTTTAACACCTGCGTGCTACCCGTTCTTACATACGGCTGCCAATCATGGACTCTAAACCAGGAAACATTGCACAAACTGGCAACTTGTCAGCACTCAATGGAAAGGAGTATGCTGAACGTTAAAAAGTCTGACAGATTGAAAAACTGCATTATTAGAAGTAGAACAAAAACTACAGATGTAACAATCAAAGTCAAAAGACTTAAGTGGAGATGGGCTGGACACGTGATACGAGGTAACGACAAATGGAGTAAAAGAGTGACACAGTGGTACCCCAGAGAAGGCAAAAGGAAGAGAGGCAGACCGCAGAAAAGATGGGACGATGATATAAGACAAGTGGCAGGACCAATGTGGAACCGAGTGGCTCTAGAAAGAACAGAATGGAGAAGATTGGAGGAGGCCTTTGCCGACTGGCAAACAGATCTTGAAATGGTAACCAAGGAACAGATATTAGTTTAAGTAGTTTCAGTGCAAGAATAGTTATTTGTAGTTTTAGATGTAAATTTATTGTAAACATTTAAGATCTGAATAAAAGGCTAAATTATTATTAATCTGTTTAGTAGTTATGGCGTGAAAGCGGAACAAACAAACAAACAAACTCACTTTCCGATTTATAATATTAGTAAGGATAGTAAGGATAAGGATTCTCCAATTTGAAGGTAGAAAGTTAAAAATTGATATGCGGACTATTTGCGACTGACAAACAAAATTGTGCATGATTATTGTTCACGTTAACTGCCGCGTAGGTCACCGGTGACCTGTAGCGGAGAACCTAATGGGTTACCGGGGCTTCGGCTCGACGTGCAGGAGTAGGAACGGGGTGGTTTTTAGTCAGTAAGAGTCTGACACTCCCTCCCGCCTCACCCAGGCGGAAGCAGTCATTCGATGACTTTTTATTTTAAAAAAAAAGGTCACCGGTGACCTACTTTAGCAGAGGATTTGCCTTCAGCAGTTTTCTGCCGGCTGTCAAAGGTTTAAAACCAATAGGAGGAGGAGCAACCACTAGGGAGTAGATAGCATAGTCATGAGTAGAGATTAAAATCTAAGTCAAGTGATATTATCATGACAACTAATCTGACAAGATTATGTGATTGATTTTTTTTATTTAGACAGATCACCAGATGGTATGTAAACTGCGTCGCCTATGTACACCTGGAATACCAGAGGCGTTACAAGTGCGTTACCGGGCTTTTGGGGATTAAGAATTTGAGGATTGTTAGGGATTCAGGGATTGGGGAGATTGGGGAAGGGGAGGGTAATTAGGCCTCCGGTAACCTAACTCACACGACGAAACACAACGCAAGCGTTGTTTCACGTCGATTTTCTGTGATGCCGTAGTATCACTCCAGTCGAGTCGGCCCATCCGTGCAAAAGCATGGCTCTCACACACTTATTTATTTATTTATTTTTAGACTTAGTACAGTAACAAATGTACAGGTGGACTTAATGCCTTATGACTGAACACTCATTCCTAATTCACACATATGTATCTTATACTATTCCTTTACTATTATATAAAGCGGAAGAGTTTTTTTTTTGTTTGTTTATTTGTTTGAACGCGCTAATCTCAGTAACTACAAGTCTGATTTGAATAATTCTTTTTGTGTTGGATAGCGCATTTATCGAGAATGGCTAGAGGCTATAAAACATCACGCTACGACTAATAGAAGTTGAGAAGAGCGTGTGAATCCGCGCGGAAGTAGTATTAAATATTTCAAGAAGATCAAATATTAGGATTGGATAAGTTTGTCTCGAACAAAATATTGAGTAATCTTATTATTGTTGGGTTGATTCTCAATGTTAGGAAGGAGTATGGAATGGTTACCTATGTAACATAACATCAAGCCTTTTATCCTCGAAGGGGTAGGCAGAGGTGCACATTATGGCAGAGGTGCACATTATGGCACTTAATGCCACAATATAAAACCCACTTTTCACAATGATTCATGTTGTGTATAGGCTATTGACCCGGAGTGATGGTTCCATATTACTATGACTTGGAATAATGGTTTCAAAATGTTTACTACTTCAGATGATGAAGCTGGCTGGCAAGGCTGATGGGAGTTGTAGCTATAAGACATGTATGTAGGTCTATGTATTATTTTATTATAGACTGCCTTGTTGGCCAAGTAACGTCCAGTTTCTATAACCTATCTATCTGTATTGCTTGATTTGCTTGGAGTTTGTATGGAGCTCATGTCAAAATTCTATCTCTAGTAAGCAAATCTACAGATAGATAGGTTATAGAAACTGGACGTAAGTGAAGTGCCGTAAGGGCTCTCCCACACTTGAATGTATTTATTTTTGTCCAGAGATGCAGATTCTCTGTTATCTAAAGGACACAGGACTTAAAAATCAAGTTACATTATTAATAGTAAACATTCTAAACATTATGCAACCACCATAACATGTATAGTAAGCATGTAATACAATACTATAAATTAATAGCAGTCATGTTATGAGTATTGTTAATATGAGTCTGCGTTAGTAAACATAACATAGTGAAATGTATCATGTAACATTCTTTTCTGACTTTCTCATGGCACACAGGTGTGAGTTTGTGTATGTGTGTAATCTTATACTTATCTGTTACAGAATACAACATAACATAACATCACGCCTTTTATCCCCGAAGGGGTACACAGAGGTGCACATTATACCACTGTACAATGTAACACCCACTTTTAACTATTTATGTTATGAGTCCCATGTAATAGGGGGTGAGCCTATTGCCATATACCGGGCACAATTCAGACTCCGTGCTACTACTGAGAATATTTAAAAAAAAACATAATACTTTGCCCGACCCGGGAATCGAACCCGAGATCCCTTGCCCGGCAGTCGCACTTACGACCACTCGGCCAACAAGGCAGTGTTAAAGAATATGTGGAAGAATAAACATTAAATGTCATTTCTTCATTTTAAGAAGCAACACATTTGTTTTATTAGACTAAATCTTATGATTTAGAATTAATAAATAAAACCAATCTAAACACAGACTATTTGACAATTAATAGTAATCAATTGAAAGTTAAAGAAAACCTATTTTCTCTACATATATATATAAAAATGAATCTCTTTTTCCCTTGGTCACAGCATTAGGTGTGAATGGTTGGACCGATTTCACTAATTATTTCTTTGTTGTATTTATTATTTATAGGAGAAGGATCTTATCCCGTTGAAATCCAATCCCAAAATTTGGTCATACAAAAGTAGTCTCTAAACATTGGAAATAAGGTTGATAATGTAATGTAATATTAGGGGTGAGTGGTCACCGGTGATCGCTTGGGGATCTATGGGTTAAGACAGAAAATCCTAAAAATCCTATGGGAATGGGAGAAAACGGGATTGCGCTTACGAAGTCACGGGCAGAAGCTAGTTATAATATCAAGCTGAAGAATTTGTTTGACTGCACTAACTTTCGGAACTACTGGTTCAAATTTAATAATTCTTTTGATGTTGGACAGTCCATTTATTGAGGAAGGTTATAGGCTATAAAACATCACGCTACGAACAATAGAAACCAAGCAAAATAGATGAAACCTTATTGGAGCTACTTATAACATAAACAGTTTTTTCTTTCAACTTTTTGACCTGGTCTTTCCCATTACTTTATGATCAAAGTGTTAACGAGCTCCTGTATGTTAGTATTGTACTAATACTGTATAATAGCAACTAAGATCAGAATTCCTAAAGATAAACCCTCATTTCTGGATGGATTTTTACTTTTTAGGCAACTGATACAAATAAATGTATAACATACCTGTAATATCATGTCTCCCGGTTCTATCCTCCCGTCCAGTGCCACGGCACCCCCCTTCATGATGCTGCCAACATATATGCCTCCATCACCACCCTTATTCGACTGTCCCACTATAGAAATACCGAGGAAATTGACTGTATCCATGTTCAAAGTCACCGTTATAATGTGCATAGACATTGTGGAGTCCGTTATGGAGGAGTACGAAGACGTTCTTGACATCACCTGAGGTCTTTTACGTCTCCGTTGAGGTCTTTTGCGAGAACTCACTTGGAGGTGTGACACGCTACTGCATTCCGTCAGCGCTCGGTCCACGGACGCGTTAGTGTGCCGGCCAGTCGTCGTAGTGATCTCCGACTGACTGTCGAAGAGACTGGTCGAGTCCAAGTCAGAACTCAGCACCGATGCCGTCTCGTACTCCAAACCATGATTGCCGTACTTCGAGTGGCCGTTTATGCGTAATCCTCGGTATTTATACTTGTCGCACGAAGCTCGGTGGCCCGGCCGCGAGCTGATCGTGCTGTCCGTGTCCGTACAGGTGTCCCGAGTGACGGGCGCCGGAGCACCGTGATTTGGTTTGCCTTTACCAGCATTGCTATCAGTACACTGTGAAGCTCCATCGGAAGGGTTCGAACCCTCAGCAGACACTAACCACGACACTACACGACCGTTAAAACACGGTAAATGCGCGTTATCGTCAACTATTTCCTCTTTAACAACACCGAAATCATCGTCCATGGATTTGAAGAAAAACTTATAGTTCGGTCGATTCAACTGGTTTTTAAAGTCCAACAACGTCACTTTCTCCGGTGAAATTGGAATTTTCACTAAATAAGGAGTTTCCTCATCGTCTATATAATAAATAACTTTAGTCTCCTCCATTTTTAATGCATTTATTTATTGAATAACAACACCCTTACGATCTATAAATATCGGTCGCCATCACAAATATGGCGATAAAAATAGTTCTTCATTTGGACACCACGGGGCGCCTTTGGACCTTTCTATTTATCAAAACGTTCGGATACATTCACCAACCATCTAAAGTCACAAAAACAGATGACAGAAAAGGAGAATGGCAGGTTTGTATGGAAGTTTTGTACCGCTATAAAATTTTGTATTAGTCATTGTTTTAACCAAGTGAATAGTCTGAACGATAGATATTTTTATTATGAAGTTTAGAAAAAAATTACATATTTTTAGAACTTGGGGTTCAAAAGTTATTTCACTTTGAAAATGTGCAAAAGGTATGTTAAGGTGGTACCACACTTAACATTGCGTAGTCGCTTCATTTGTCCAAATATTTGTAGACTACGTACAAATGGCGTCCAAATAGTATCTCTATATGTAATGCCGTGCAAATGTATATAGCAAACAAAGAAGAATAAATCCTCCAAACATGGTCTTTTTTGGCCGAACACAACAAATACGCAACGTCAAGTGTAGAGCCACCGTAAGCAAAATATCTATTACAAATGACAGATGACAGTTAACTGAAAAATGTCAATGTGCTCTCATGTGGTTGTTTATTTACAAAAAACAAAAATCTAAAAATACTGCTCGCTACTCAAGTGACTATTACACTTTGTATTATTAGAAAGAAAGAAAGAAAGAAAAACCATTTATTTTGCTACGACACACAACAAGAATTTAGAAACCCAAAAAATAACCTATGGTGCGTCGCAGCGCAAAAGGCAATTAGGAATGATCCTGTTAATTCAGCAAGCATGATGCACCTATAGAGTTTTAAAGAGTATGCCTCACAATCTTTTTCATTTCTTAGGTGCCTACGAAAATGCAAATTCATAATGTAAGCGACTGTCATTGGGTAGAAGGCCTACATTTAGCAGTGGAAGTCTTGTGGCGGATATGATAAAACTAATGTCTCACTTCACCTTGAATCTTGCAGGTAGATAGTCTCAAGGGTCTCAAGTTAATTCGATTTAAACTTAGCTTAGCTCTTTGAGAAAGTATTTCTTCTGAAAACTGGTTGCTTAGCACGCATGTAAGGATTAATTTCTAATAAGTAAGTCAAATTAGTAGAATCATCAACATTTTCATCATTAAGTCTATAAGTGGCCACTGCTGACCGAAGCCTCTTCTCGCATGGAGGTTTGAGCATTAATCACCATACTAGCTCAATGTGGGTTGGTAATTCAAACTTATAATAAGAAATTATAAGCCCATGTTTCCTCACAATGTTTTCCTTCACCATTCGTCAGCGGTGTCTTTGTACTTTCTTAGATTATTGAATATACCAATAACTCGGAAAAAAGACACATTGGACAAAAGGTACTTTGCCGTTGGTAGGTTTCGAACCCGCACTCTCATGCATGAGAAGCGGGCTTCTTAAACCTCTGGGCCACCACATTACAACTAAAGAAAATGTAAAATGAAAATGAACATTTTTGGTATAAAACTAAAGCTATCTAAATTAAATATGGCATTTATTTTATAGATTGATTCTTAAAATCACTTTTATCAAGATGGAATATATAGTTACTTACTAGGTTAAAATAAAACAAATGTATTATTTTGAAATACTTTTATTTCATTGTATTCAGGTTGTTTCTAGGAGTACTTCATCTAAAAAGAGAACAGGCCGTGTCATAGGTACAGCAGACATCAATTGCTGATATCTGTAAACAAGTAAGATAACTGTAAATAAAGTAAACAAAAGTACATTTTTTTCCTTTAGTTTTATATGTTATAATAATAAGTCTGATTCCCTATCTTAAAATGGAAAAGATAAAAATAAATATTTGATTACATTACTTCATTTTATAACATTTATTATAGTTATTCGTATAACACAGATCATAGGAGCTCAAACAGCATGCTAATTAATAAATTATAATTATAACATGAGTATAAACCTATTAGAAACCGCTTATATACTCCACATAGATACATAATTATGTAGGTACATTATATTGAGAATGCATACCTGTTGAAGCTTTGAGAGCCGAACAACATCATCCGGCCTCATCTGTTCTACAAATGGCAATGTTAAAGTGAGGCTTAGTCCATGTTTACATAATACATTACTTCCTGATAGTGAACACTGTGAGGTGGTATGTCAGGTTGTGGTTTTATAGTTTCGACTCTTGTACGGTCTCTCAGTCAGTATGGAACATGATCTTCATCATGGGAAGTAAGCTAAAATAAGTAATATTATTAGAATATGATATTGACTTTAGATTACACTGTATATAGATAATAGTATGGTTAAATTATGCTTTATTACCTCTTGTGGCTGAATCCAATCAAATACTATATGAGCCAGTCTTTACTCCTGTTTGTTGGCGCCTTCAATTAAAACCCTGCGTCACCTTATCATTGCAATGAATCACCCATATACGACACAAACATGCCAGTGACCAATTTGTTTGCTGGACATACTTTCAGCAACATCCCGATACATTGCTAATTGCCAGCAAGCATTGCAAATATGGTCGGTAGGAGAGATCTAGAATAAAAAGAATAAAATGATACATTATGGGTAGATAACACTATGCGCCTTCTTTTATTCAGGCAACATGGTGACTTTCGATATGTTATGGGTAAACTAGGTACTTACATCTCTAGGATAAGTCCACATTGGGATATTGTTGACCACGTCTAATCTTCACTCTCATTTTCTAGAGCATGCCGTCTCATGTGCGACAAACTCTGAATGCAATTAATACACTGTAAATTCATCATCGCGACAAATAACAACACACTGCACAAAATAATGTAAATAAGTGTCTTTTCGCAATTGTCACAACAATGATGCCAATAATACCAATTTGGGCTACGGAGGAACGGTTGCCAAACTCAACGTATCACCAGATGAATAAAATAACTTCAAATTCAACAAACACATCATAACATCGCATTTGAAACAAACAGCAATGCGCCAGTATTGACAAATTAATTGTCAATGTCATCAAGACAAATGCCAGTTCAACATTGCCATAATATTCAAGTTTGTTAAAATGTTAATTATCATTAATAATCCATGTAAACGTAGATTTAGATTGGATGTAGATTTTTATATTTACTTATAAAAATGTTTGAAATGGAAAGAAAAATATTTCATTGATAGATATTAAAATAAATGAGTTTATGAAATAGCGAAATTCAATATGCTCTGATTTCATCTTTACGCATGGCAACTTTGTAAACGTCAATCGCGGTTCGTTTTACGTATAGTGGATTGCTTTTTATCATTATTGAATATCAGATTTTCTAGGGTTTCCCAAGTTTTAAAAATCTATTAAATATGCTAACATAACGTACTTAGGAGGTTCTATAATAACCCAATTTTTTAATGACAAATCTTTTTTTAGCGAAGCGGTACAAAATCTGCCGTTCTCCTTTGAGAACTGCTGATGTTGTACTATAATCTGTGGAAAATTTACCGATTTGGTTTATCTGTGACATTTGTTTATGAATTTTGAATTCAAAAGAGTCGTTTTCGTTTGTTGTTGCAACAGTTCTAATCAGTAAAATAAAGTACAAAAACTGAATAAATATCAACAAAAATGGCTTCAGAATCGAAAGAAACTTGGTTTCTGGATATTGTCGAGAAATTGGACGGCTTCTGCAAAAGTGTAGACGGTAATTTACAGTGAAAAGTATTTGTTGTCACAAAAACTATCTTAGATTTCTATAACAATTTCTTTGCTAAAAATTACAGAAAAGATCGAAAAAGAACAGCAACAAATGAAAGCCTGCAAAAAGAAGACTGAATTGGAAATTAAACTTGCACAAGAAATGAAATTACACGTAAGTTGGCCAGATTCTATATTTCCTGAAGGGTATCTTCAAAGCCCGAGAGAGGTTGCTTATGGGGCGACGTGCTCCATCGTAGCATCATCGCTTACCACCAGACGAGATAGTGGTCAAACGTCGGCCCATCAAGTATATAAAAAAGTTATCAATAAGTATTCTTCAACAAAACAAAGAATTTTCTAACAATAATTACTCTGAACAGTGCTTGAACAAGCTTTTTTAACGATTTATCTGTATCACAATTATTCACGCATTTTATGCATTATACAATTCCCATTTTATTCCCAACATAGAAAGAAAGCAAGAAAAATCATTTATGCGTCAGTAGGCACGCACAAGATACAAAAAAATACAAAATTAAAAAAGAAAAGAACAAATAAATACACTTATATAAACACATATAGAAAAAAAACACAAAGAAACGACAACATATAAAAAAACAGTGACAATAGAATACTAACACAATAATTAAAAATTAATAAAAACAAGATATAAATAAATAAATAACATTTACGGTGCGTGCCCTTGCCAAAGGGGCCTCCATCTCAGCATTAAGTTGACCGTACATGCCCAACGCTGATTTTCAGATGGCACCCTGCAGTGACTCACGGACGGCAGTAAGCCGCTCACAACATCTGATCTTTAAACACATAACATCACGCCTTTTATCCCCGAAGGACTAGGCAGAGGTGCACATTACGGCACTTAATGTCACTGTACAATGCAACACCCACTACTATTTTTATCTATTACCTACTACTTGATCTTCAGAATGAGCTGACAGAGCGTCTCGCAGAGTTGGTACGACGCGGCAGTGAGCTAGACCGAGTCTGTGCTACCTTCGAGTCACATCTCAGCATCGCAGACAGCGATAGAAATAGATTGGATAATGCCAAGTTAGTATACTAGAATAACATAACATCACGCCTTTTATCCACTAAGGGGTAGGCAGAGGTGCACATTATGGCACTTATATGCCACTGTACAATGTAACACCCACTTTTCACTATTTATGTTATAAGTCCCATGTAATATGGGGTGAGCCTATTGCCATATACCGAGCACATTTCCAGACTCCGTGCTACTACTGAGTACTACCTTTTAAAAACCCAGTAATACTTTGCCTGACCCGGGAATCGAACCCGAGACCCCTTGCCCGGCAATCGCACTTGCGACCACTTGGCCAAGGAGCAGTAAACAAATAACAGTATTAATAACAGTTTCCCATATTATCCACTCATGACAGGCGAGTTGGAGATTGGGCATTGTAATTTATCAAGTTATCAACTACTCTTACTGTCAATTTGGGTGTTTTACTCAATACAATACTCATCCTTGTGTTTACCTGTTTCAGAGAGACGTACCAGCTTGCTAAGGAGCTGACAGGCATCCGATGGGACTTCAGTGCTCCACCCAATGTGGCTAAAGGATGTATCCTTTTTATAAACTAAACTAGCTACTTCCGCGCGGTTTCACACGCTCTGCTCAGCTCCAATTGGTTGTAGATTGATGTTTTATAACCTATAGCCATCCTCGATAAATGCGCTATTCAACACAAAAAGAATTATTCAAATCAGACTTGTAGTTACGGAGATTAGCGCGTTCAAACAAACAAAAAAACAAATTCGTACGCTTTATGAATACAGTCAAAACCGCTTACAACGACATCGTTTATAACGACTAATCGGGTACAACGACGAAATTTTGAGCTCCAGTCTATCCTTACTTCCTTACTTATATTATAAATCGGAAAGTGAGTTTGTTTGTTTGTTCCACTTTAACGCCGTAACTACTAAACCGATTGCTTTGAAGTTTTGCAGACGTAAAGTTACAAGTCCGGATTACATAATAGGGTACTTTTTATCCCTGAAAAATTTTATATTCCCGAGGAAAAACAAAAGTATTGGTATAGATGGCGCTGTGTGTATTGATATGTCACATTGGCTTTTTATCCTTTTGTGACGCGAGCGAAGCCGCGGGTAAAAGCTAGTTGTCTTATAAAGCATAAAGATATTGGTTATAGCGACTATTGGTTATAACGATCATAATTAATCGGTCCCTTCGATGTCGTTATAAACGGTTTTGGCTGTAGTATAAGATTTATGTTTCTAAAAAATGAATTCCTTAACTGCCAAAAATACAGATATAAAAAGTGAATCCCGCAAGTTGCTCCAGCCTATAGAGCTGGACATGTCCGCTGGAGCCGACAGTGGAGCCCTGTGGGCACTACTGCAGAGCACCGCAGCGCCCGGCTGGCCGTTCCAGGGAGACAAGGAGAACAGACCTTGTAACGACGTTAAATAAGATTAATTGTAATTGATAAGTTATTTTAAGTACCACTTCACATTAGAACGTAGCAGAGCGACAGTAGCGGGGTAGAAGCAGGACACCGCGTAAGCAACGATTTTAAACTCAGTAAAATAGTGAAAACTGAAGTTGATCTGTAATCTGTAAATAACAATAAAATATAAAAATACATTATTTTAGTTAAAAAATATTCTTTTATTTTTCTTCCAAATAAATAAAGATACAAATTATGAATCACTATACTAATGATATATATAACTTGAACCTTCTGAACGCCAATCGCATGTATACAAGTTCGAGCGCCAACGACTTGATATGAAGTATTTGGAGACAAATAGGGGCATGCCTTCAAAAACACACGTCTAATAATTACAATACTTTTCATTTATTTTGGGGAATATATCCAGGTTTTCATTATGTTGTGTGGTAGTTTTAAGTGTGGGAGAGCGATGCTACGGCACGAATGGGCCGGCTCGACCGGAGTGATACCACGGCCGAGCAGAAAACCGACGTGAAACAACGCTTGCGTTGTGTTTCGTCGTGTGAGTGAAGTTACCGAAGGCCCAATTACGCCCCCACCCTTCCCCAATTCCTGAAGCCCCAATAATCCCCAAATTCGTAATCCCAAAAAACCGGTAACGCATTTGTAACGCCTCTAGTGTTGGACACCCACAGTCCATGGGTGACGCCGATTGCTTACCATCAGGTGATCCGTCGGCTCGTTTACCGGCTGACACCATAAAAAATAAATTTATAAATTTTAATTTTAAATTTTAAATTTTGATAGTAGGAATTTGAGTATTGTTTGGGATTGGGGAAGGGGCGGAGGGGTTAATTGGACCTCCGGTAACCTCACTCGCACGACGTAACACAACGCAAGCGTTGGTTCACGTCGGTCTTCTGCGAGGCCGTGGTGTCACTCCAGTCGCGCCGAAGCATGGCTCTCCCACACTTAATTATGTGCTTTGTAACAAAGCCATATCTTTTGTCACTCAGTCGGCTCTAGACAACCAATGGCTGTCTCTGTACTGAATCAATCTTTATTTTCTTACCTGCATACTGAATAACTTGGTTTATTGTATATGTCATACATTTTTAAAATAATGTCATACCATAATTTTTGCTAAAACTAAAATATTACATATTTAGAATTAATAAGTAAATAATACTCGTGTTTGAGACCACAAAAATTGTGATGTTTGTAAAAAATAAATAAATTAGGCTTAAAACAAATATTATTTAAAAAACTACAATATGAGAAGTATATCTATACATTATCTCGCGCCTGACTCCCATGGGGGTATGCAGAGACTGTGGAACGCCAATTGCTACGATTCTCACATACCTCTTTCGCTTCATCGACAGTCATCAGTCTTGTCATGCATGCTCGTCGGTTTTTTTTTAATTCATGGGACAAGCCCGCCACAGCTTCCCAAAACTGCTGCAACTCCTGTAAGCCAGGGTCTACAGAAGATGCAACCATGAAAACCAGGGACATGAATAACTGTCTTGGTTCCCGCAACGAAGTGAATCAGAAGATATTATAAGAGAAGAAAAAAAAAACGACATTTTGCCACTTCCCTCGGTGAATTACTGCAGGAGACAGAGTGAATTAAGCCTAAAGGCACAAAGAAAAGAGACTGTACAACTGGGTTAAGCCCAGTCGCCAAGCATGCTCGTCGGTTAAGGGTACTTTTAATTTGGCCTTTCTTTAATATATCACCAATCTGGTCAGTATGTGCCCGTCTAGTGCGCCCTGTATCGACGGTCCCATTCATATCCGCTCTGTATACATACTTCTTTCGTAATCTGCTTCATAATTTTAAGAATCTAGATAATATAAAATAATACTTTCCTAAATCTAAATTATCTAATAAGCTAAGGTAATACTAATATTGATATCACAATGTTTAATAGAAAATCTATTTTAAATTCACAAATATACTTAACATTACGGCTAATTAATACTAAAGGGTATATAGGCCGAGATTATTTTCAAAATGATCATATTATCACCTTACTTAATATCTATTGCAAATAATAAAATCGTAGGAAAGTGAAAACTGTACCTAAATTGAATATATTTTTAAAAGAATGCTTGAAGTGTTATCTAAAATCAATATCGAAGCCAAAAATATGGTTTCTAGAATTTTTGTCTGTTTATCTGTATGTATATCTGGATTAAACTCAAAAAGTACGTGTGCGTTACCCAGGCCAGATGTTGTCAAAAATGGTCATTTGAATCTTATAGATAATTAGTTGTGCGGCTTCTGTAATTGTTGCGCACATTTTTAAATTTGTTGCGCTTATAGTTTTTTAATTATTTCACAAAAACATTTCCTGCTGGGGTAACGTTACCCCAGCCAGAACTGTTTTCTTTCCAATGGGAATATTTAAATAATTACTAGCTATAAAATTAGTTGTCTAGATGAAGTAAATGTTGTGCCTTATTTTGTATTTGTTCTTTCATCGGTTGCGAAGTAATTCGAGATTTTGCTGGGGTAACGTTTTTGATTTTGCTAAATCTTTGAAATGGTTAAGCGGGTTCTTATCATATTTTGTACATGGCTTCTTAGGAATTAGTTTATATTTGTTCATAGTTGGCTTTGAATTTTTGCAGACGTAAAGTTAGAAGTCCGGATTAAATAATAGGGTACTTTTTAACCCGGAAAAATTTGATATTCCCGAGGAAAAACATAGGCTACTTTTTATCTTTTTGTGACGCGAGCGAAGCCGCGGGTAAAAGCTAGTAATATTATAAACGTGAAAGCTTGTCTGTATGTTTGTCACTCAAACACGTCAAAATGGCTGAAGGGATCGGTATGAAATTTGAAACAGGGGCAGATTAGGGTCTGGTATAACACATAGGCTACTTTTTTCTCCACGGGAACGGGCGGAGCAGCTGGCAGAAGCTAGTATGTACATTTATCAAGCAATCTTCAATCTATCGATATGCTGAGGTCCGGCCTGTACAGCATGTATCCTCAATAGATGTCTGACTGCGTTCCTACGTCTGACAAATGTGTTCTGACATATTCTACATTTGAAGGAGTATTGCGGCGCCTTGTGTCGATTTTTGTGTATCCTCATCAGGGTGACAGATTTGAACCGGGCAGGACATTGGTCGCACTGTAAATAGAGAAAAAATAAACTTAAAACATTATTCCGTATACTTTTTAGTAATAAGACATTTTTGAAAAACGAGAACGCTCAATGAATACCTACTTTCCTCGATCCGGGAAACGAACCCGAATCGAATTAAGCCGACCAACGTTATAAGCATGCTGTATAAATGTCTAATCTTCTATACATATAAATAAAAATGAATTTCCGTTCGTTAGTCTCGCTAAAACTCGAGAACGGCTGAACCGATTTGGATAATTTTGGTATTGGAATGTTCATGGAAGTCCAGGGAAGGTTTAAAAGATGAGAAAAAATTTTTAGGCGGCAAACCCCCAAGTTTTACCACCGCAGCTCTTCACGTGGGTGTAGTATACCCGACCTAGGGACTAGCATGGAGACAAAGTCAAACCTGAGGACAGCATTACACTGACACGATCTATATGTAATACGAACCTGTACGTTTTTATCAGGGAGATGTATGGCGACGTGTTGGAGGTAGCTACTCTTGCGGTGGAACCCGGCGCCGCACTCGGAACATACGAACGGCTTCTCACCAGTGTGGAGGCGCTCGTGAATCTGTAACATAATATTATCACATCTTTTATCCCCGAAGGAGTAGGCAGAGGTACACATTACGACACTTAATGCCACTGTACAATGTAACATCCACTTTTCACTATTTATATTATGAGTCCCATGTAATAGGGGGTAAGCCTATTGCCATATACCGGACATGATTCCAGACTCCGTGCTACTACTGAGAATTTAAAAAAAACCCTGTAGTACTTTGCATGATTCGGGAATCCAACCCGAGATTGCCCGGCAGTCGCAGGTCTACCCCAATCTTTCATTTAATAATAGTTGTAGTGAAGCTCAAGGCTGTTTTTTGAGGGGGGAAATTCGTCAGGCGTCAGAGGAGGGAAGCGTCAGACTATTACTGACTAAAAACCCCGTTCCTACTCCTGCACTTCGAACTGGAGCCCCGGTAACCCGTTAAGTCTTCCGCGGCTCCGTATCGGAATCAGCCCTATTGGGCCCCATCTGTGGTGGCTTCTTGAAGCGCGCGCGGCGCCGTACACTCGGGTATGGTTCTGTTCGGTCGGGAAGTCACCCGTGGATGTTGCATAAATAACACGAAAACAAATACGATTAAAATTGGGATGATGACAGGGCATAAAAATTAAAAATATAATTAGACCGTTAGTAAGGTAATGAAAAAATGTTAGATACGTACGTATTGTTTTATTTTGTCGTATAATAAAACAATATTTAGATAAAACGAATCAAAGTTTAGGAGTGGGGGCTAAAACGTCATTTCTACGTATAAAATGTACATAGAAGTGACGTCACGCGACATTTCAAATCAATATATCATCGAAACCATTCAACAATAAAAAATACGTGTCTAATGATTTAAAACAATCTACCAGACAGACATAAAAATTAAAATTAGGCATCTACCCTATTGTACAAACAATTTCTTTTTGTCAGCGTTTCGGGAGCGTTCCGTTCACATCCTATATTTTTAATTAAAGAACATTATCATAACATCACGCCTTTTATCCCCGAAGGGGTAGGCACAGGTGCACACAGAAGTGACACCAACTTTTCACTATTTATATTATGAGTCCCATGTAATAGGGGGTGAGCCTATTGGCATATACCGGGCACATTTCCAGACTGCGTGCTACTACTGAGATTTTTTTAAAAACCTACTTAGCCTGACCCGGGACTCGAACCCGAGACCCCTTGCCCGGCAGTCGCACTTGCGACCACTCGGCCAACAAGGCAGTCTTAAAGAAATATTAATATTTAAATGTTCTAACCTTAACCTGCTCCGCATTAGAAGCTCTATAATCACAGAAGGAGCATTTGTCCGTCTTCTCATACCCGTGCTTAGCTCTGCAGTGCATCAATAGGAGGCGACGGGTTATGAACTTCTTGCCGCAGTGCTGTGGACGAAAATTTAATAAAATAAGTATTTTTTCTAGCTATGTCAAAAAAGAATTATTAGTTTCGGTTTCACCTTAAGCTCGATTCGTATTCATCGTAACTTATTTAATGTTTTACGGCATATAGGCTCCTTCGATAAATGCACTTTACAACGCTTATATTTTTTTTTCAATTCCAAAACCTATAAGTTTACCATTATTAATGATCTGCTGAGGACCGTTAGCGCTGCTAAGTGTTTATTATTAAAACTATATCACGCAGTTAAAAATATCTCAGATTGCAGTGATCTGCAACGGGACATAGACGCAATAGCGAAATGGAGTGACAATAATCGACGGTATTTTAATGGGTCAACATGTAAAATTATAATAACCTACACACGCGCTCGCCGGCCAATAATTGCCAATTATGGGTTACCGGGTAGACAATCGGATGGAGTTGAGATAATAAGAGACTTGGGACTAACTTTAGATTCACAACTAAATTTCAGACAGCATATGATAAATGCTTGTGAGGGTGCTAATAATATGTTGAGATTTGTGATGAGTATTTCGCCTGACTTTAAGGAAATTGGAGCAGTACTAACGTTATACAAGGCTTATGTGCGGAGTCGGCTAGACTGCTAGAGTATAGTGCTGTGGTGTGGGATTCCTACGAAACAAAATACTCCATCCTAATTGAGCGAATCCAAAGAAAATTCGCTCGATTTGGAATTCGCTCGTACAGGAAGAGGTACGGATATTACCCTTACCTTTAACTTTCAATGTATGTCTCAGGAATGGTAGGACTGGATACCCTATATCTAAGGCGTAAATTATTGCTTCTGGCACAATACTATCGACTTCTTAGTAACAAGGTAGATAATCCCACCACACTACCACGAGTGGGGTTAATGGGAGTTCCTAAACGATATCTTAAGGCTGGTGATGGTACAGAGGGACCGCGTAGGCGGAGGAAATTATTTGCTGTGCCACCTGGCATACGCACAAAGCGAGGTGCTGCAGCACCAACGGCAAGAGCGATGGGTCTCTTGAACTCGATGATAGCTCAACACCCAGAATTAGATGTGTTCCACGATAAGTTGTATGTCATACGGAAATTAATGTTTAAGTTTTTAAATATAAATCTCGATAATATAAGAACTATCTAAGTGATTAATATTGTAATAGGTTCTTTTTTGTATCCTAGAATGTAAGTATTTTGGCTCTCGCTGTAAACTAAATCTGTAGAGAGGTCAATTCTGTACATGAAATATATTTCCAAAATAACTATCAGGGGATGATTAGTGATCAATACTACTGGATTTTTTCAAAAAATCTCATTTGTAGCACGGAGTCTGAAAATGTGCCCAGTATACGGCGTGTGCGTTACCCAAGCCAGATGTTGTCAAAAATGGTCATTTAAATCTTATAGATAATTAGTTGTGCGGCTTCTGTAATTGTTGCGCACATTTTTAAATTTGTTGCGCTTATAGTTTTTTAATGATTTCACAAAAACATTTCCTGCTGGGATAACGTTACCCCATTAGCGTTAATATTAGCTATAAAATTAGTTATCTGGATGAAGTAAATGTTGTGCCTTATTTTGTATTTATTTTTTCATTGGTTGCAAAGTTATTCGATATTTTGCTGACAACTAATTTTATAGCTAGTAATTATTTCAATATTCCCATTAGAAAGAAAATGGTCTGGCTGGGGTAACGTTACCCCAGCAGGAAATGTTTAGCGCTTACCGTGTGGTATGCGCTAAACACAAAAAAATGTACTTAAAAATCATGTTTTCTTGTCCACTGTGACAGAACACAACATACTTTATTTGTAGGCGACCATGGTGTCTTAACCCGGCGAGCATGAGGCGAAAAAAAGTTACTTCAAGAATGTGGCAGGGTGTGACATACCCTTATCTTAATGTACCGTAATATAGTTATTTTTATTATTATTTTTATTTTGTTGATTTTATTTTGTAAAATAATGAATTATTTAATGGAGTTAAATGAAAGAAGTTCTTTTTAAATAATAATGTTTTATTTATTCATATTTATTTTATACGATGTAATTTTAGGAACAAAGTAATAAGGTTTTACAAAAATTAAGAATTCAACAAAATTATTATTCTTTGGAATGGAAATCAACTTAAAACTAAAAGATAATGAGATCCACCTCGTAAAAAACTAATAAAGTATTTTTTTTATTGAAATAGGATTAATTAGCACTGTTGAGATCAGCACAATTTTCGCAAATATATTTTGCATGTTCCAAACATAAATATGGGCTTGCCAGTTGCCACACGCATTGCAGGAATGTTTAGTTTTTTTGTCCTTCTAATATGGATAATCCGGGCATCTGACATATCGTCTGGGTGCAATTGTAGGTCTAGGTGAGGGTTCACCGAGCTGCAAGCTTGTTGAATCATCACCTTCTTGCTCCGTATCAGAATTCACTTCATGTTCACTACAATGATCAGAGTCTTGTTCTGAACTGGATTCTCCAGAAGAATCAGTTGCTGCCTCTTCCAACATAGCACGAATCTGTTCCTCTTGACTTTCAATATCCATTTTAGTCAAAAACTAAAAAAATAAAATAAAAGGAAATGTTCAATAAATGAACGAATAACAAATTCATATAGTAAAATAATAAAGAAATAACAAAAATCTAAAAACAACAAACAAAAAGCAACAAAATCTGAAATTAATTGAAAAAAATAACTAATAAAACAATTAAAATTCATTCATAAATCATTACGTAAAATAAATATGTCAAAAATGAGGCAGGGTAAAACATACCCGAGACAAGTTTGTGCACGTATAACTTCGCCGATGCCTCGCGCCACACTGCATTCACGCCACTACCCGGTCCCGCACGCCCCTACCTTCAGCTACTAACCGATCTAGTGTCGCCAGACGAGGATTTTAAAATGTACAGCACTTTTAAATTTTAACAGGGTATGAGATACCCTGGATCATGCTCGCCGGGTTAAAGGTGGTACTTACTTCGCAAACCACGTCAAATCCAGTGTGAATCTTATAATGATTACGTAAAGACAGCTTAGATGTTAAAATCTTATGACAATATTCACACTCTATCTCCTCTTTAACTCCCGTTTTCTTCTCTCCACCTTCTTTTTTCCGTCTCAAAGTCCGTTTAACAGGCTTATCACTCTTTTTACTTCTTGTTTTTCTTTTGAAATTATTTTCTATTTCTTTATCTTCTTGATCTTTAGAATCATACATTAAATCTTCTTCGTGTTTCTCAATCTCATCATACATTGTGAAATCGTTAATTCCATTATCGTGATTGTTGAAATCGTTAACTAAGTCCGTTATGTCTATTGATATTTTGCTATCGTTGTCTGCTGGGAATATATCTGTTTCTAATTTAACGCTGCAGATTGGGTTATCGTTAAGTCTCGCTAATAACGATTGGTAGGTTTCTTCGCATTTTTTTCTGAATTTGTATGATGTGTTTATGAAGTTTATACATGTTGTGCACATTTGTTGAGGTAGTGTATCGTTATATTCGACCTGGAATCGTTTTAAAAAACTTTTAAATAGTTTATAAAGTTACAAATGCATTGATATATAGTTGCATGGTAAAATAAATTTTCTAGTTAAAGATAATTGTTGGATAAGTCACAATATAGAATTTCAAGTATTCCTAAACTTTACCTTAAGTCCAGTAGCTGAGAAAATAACTTCGGAATATTTTTCGTGTTGATTCACGAATTGAAATATTGGGTGCAAAGATTCTACGCTCAAACATGTTCTACAGCAGTTCCAAGAGTCCATATCAATAAATACTGTCGGATATACTTGTTAATTATTAATTTTATTAGATTTTTAAGTAATAATTCTCATTAGAATCATTTTACATAAAAAAATAGGAACAAAACAAGAACTTATTGACGCTACGAAAATGACGTTTGCGTTTTGTTTTACGTAGGTACAGGTAGAAGTTTTCTGTTTTGAATACGTTGTTTATTGTAGTAAATTATATAATCCGCCTCGATATATAAATTATAAAAAACAGATAGTCATTAAATTTTTTAATTTTATTTGTAGACCTATAAAATTAATTAAACTCCTCAGTCTACACAAAATATTTATAAAACTAAACGTAAAATTTTAACATCTGTTCCTTCGACATTGCCAATTAAAAATTACAAAATTCTACTAATGACACACACCCATAAACATTGCTTTGTAACTTTCTTGACTTCGGTATTTCAATCTGTATTATTGAAAAACTGACTAATTTAATGGGTGCACTTACAATTCTATCTCAAAGGTCCTTACAAATATTTATAAAATTCGAGTTTTACAACCTTTTAAAAACTACCAATAGGTGCTTAAAATTTAAAGCAATAGGCAACATTAATCTGTCAATGTCAATCTATACTATATACCTACTGGAGTTGTTTATGTTTATAATCTGATCAATATTTACATAAAAACACCGATTTATCTAATTATAAGTGTAAATATATCGCTAATTTCTATTCACACCACCTTAATATTACTACTAATTAATTATTCAAGTCATAATCCTATTATATCTTTAGAAATAACTTAGAAATTTAGTAAAAATGTTAGCGTTATTACTTCTAAACAATATGACGGCTAAGCGCAAGGCTGCGAAACGAGTACAGGCTCTACGAGTAGAGCAAAGAAGACCAGCTTCAAAGGATCCAGAAGCGGCTTGCTGCAGGACTTGCCTAAATAGAAATACAGACGATTTAATGGCGATATTTCTGGACAAAGAGAGCGAAATGAAAAGATCGCGCGAATTAAAACTTGTGACTGGATTGAAGGTAAGATCACTTTATTATAGACCTAGTTTCCTACGGTAGGGTAGAATACACTATTCACCACCCTTACTCTTCCTATGGGTGTCCTATACCCGACTAAAATCACATAACTTGACAGAAAATGGACAGAGAGCTGTACTTTCTAATAAGCCTAAAGCCCGTACTATTTATTATTTAAACTACGAACTCCAAGCTGCATGTCACGCGTGGAGATGATTAATATGTTGATATACCGAAAATTTGTCCATACAAAAGAAGTCTCTAAACCTCGGATATAAGGTCTATAATGGAGTTAGTGGAGAGTGGTCACCGGTGACCGCTTGGGGATAGCACAGTTAAGCCAATGTAGCCAATATACCAGCAGTATATTGTCACAGGCTTTTAGTATTAAAGTTATATCATAACTTAAACCTTCTTTAAATTCATAATTTATGGCTCGGCTCATATAATAAAAGAATATAATTTTGCATTTTAGCGCAAATGCAGTATTTCATATAGCGCGCGCTACAAAGGGGGTTTTTAACATAAAAGTTGCCTACAAAATGATTATGACTTTTGAATATTTTCAGATAAGAATGGACGACGGCCTATCACAGCAGATTTGCACGCGATGTGTAGAGACCATGACTATAGCGATGCAGTTCCGCAGAACTAGTCGGAAGGCTGAGAAGGAACTACGGAGTTTGCTGTCAGGTATTCATCACTCCTAATAGGGTAGATGACTAATTTCTACTTCAATATCCGTCTGGTAGATTATTTTAAAACATTAGACACGTATTTTTATTTACATAAAGAAACGAATAGTTTCGACGATATATTGATTTGAAATGTCGCGTGACGTCACTTCTATGTACGTTTTATACGTAGAAATGACGTTTTTACTCCCACTCTTAAACTTTGATTCGTTTTATCTAAGTATTGTTTTCTTATACGACAAAATAAAAAATACGTGTCTAATATTTAATTTTCACCCTGTCATCATCCCAATTCTGAAACCAATAGGGTTGCAAGGGAATATAAATTAAAAATCTAATTAGTCCGTCAGTTAGATAATGAAAAAATATTAGACACGTATTTTTTTATTTTCTCGTATAAAGTTACAATACTTAGATAAAATGGAGTTAAGTTTAGGAGCAGGAGGTCGTTACGTCACAAAGTGCTACAGAATGTAACGCATTGTGACGTCAAACGATATTTCAGAGACGGACTAATTAGATTTTTAATTTTCATACCCTGCCTTTTGCAAATAAATAATCTTTGTCTTTGTCTTTGCCATCGTCCCTATTCGAGGCCCTTGCGTAATGTTTCTTTTTTTTAACGTTGCCCCACACTAGGATTTTCTCCTGTAGCGTGCGTATACACGTTCACACATTGTGGGGCCGGTTGACGAGCAACGTGTTGCGGATGTGTGTTGGTCGTAGATATTGTCGGTCCTTTAGGGCCCATGGAGGATGGCCGTCTTGGGCACGGGCACTGAGTGCCCTTATTCTAAAGACGGTGCTCCTTAACTATGACTAATGACCCCATCCATTATTTCAGTCTGCGACCGCACGTGCACGGAATCTATAAGGAAATCAGTAAATCTCACACTTCGAAGGAGTATGGCTAGACCTAAGGTAACTACTTATTTATAATTTTATAGCTTTTACCCGCGGCTTCGCTCGCGTCACAAAAGGATAAAAAGTAGCCTATGTGACATGAACCAGTACACACAGCGCCATCTATACCAATAATTTCGTTTTCCCTCGAGAATATCAAATGTTTCCGGGATAAAAAGTACCCTATTATTTTAATCCGGACTACTAACTTTACGTCTGCAAAAATTCAATGCAATCGGTTTAGTAGTTACGGCGTGAAGTCGGAACAAACAAACAAACTCACTTTCCGATTTATAATATTAGTAAGGATTTCAAAAGGCAAAGGATCAAATAATTTTTTATGGGATAAACCGGTAAACGAGCAGACGGATCACCTGATGGTAAGCAATATCATTCCAATTGTGTACTGGCTAATCTTTGTAATCCCTGTACCGATTTCGACGGGACTTCTATTGGCAGGTAGCTGATCTACTAAGGAGTAACATAGGCTACATTTATTTCAGAAAATTAAAATATAAAAATTTGTCCTAAAATTAATATTCTAAGCGGATAAAGTCGCGGGCAACAGCTAGTATCATATAAAACTATTTTTATGTACTAAATAAAGAGTACTCAATTTTAACCCGTTGAAATGCATCCCCTAAATTTGTTCATACAAAAGTAGTCTCTAAGCATTAGAAATAAGGTCTATAATGTAGTTAGTGGAGAGCGGTCACCGGTGACCGCTAGGGGATATAAATATCGTGCCATCTCTGTCATTATACAAAGAATTTGTAGCGACAGAATTATACCGAGTGATCGCAAGTGCGGCAAGGGGTACCATGGTCGATTGGACAACGAGCAAAGAGTTACTCGGTTTTTAAAAACAAAAATTCTCAGTAGTAGCACGGAGTCTGGAATTGTGCCCGGTATATGGCAATAGGCTCACCCTACTACATGGGACTCATAACATAAATAGTGAAAAGTGGGTGTTACATTGTACAGTGGCATTAAGTGCCGTAATGTGCACCTCTGCCTACCACTTCGGGGATAAAAGGCATGATGTTATGTTAGAACTATACTTAAACACGACTTAACCCTTTGAGTACCGTCATTATAGACACAATTAAAGAACAATAGGTTGCGGTCACCGGTGTCATCGCGGTGTTTGACAGTTTAAAATAGAGACGCGTTTGTTTGTTTATAATTTGTTTATTATCATAAAAAGCATACAGTCAATATATAACAGACACGGCCAGTTTACAAGAAACATGATATAAATATGACCATGCAGGCTAACGCACCTATTTTAGGTCTTTAAACTGTCAAACACCAAGCGGTCACCGGTGACCGCGACCTATTGTTCTTTAATTGTGTCTATAAATACGGTACTCGACGAGTTAAACTGTCAAACACCAAGCGGTCACCGGTGACCGCGACCTATTGTTCTTTAATTGTGTCTATAAAACCGGTACTCGACGAGTTAAATTACATTTGTATAATACTCACAGTTTTTTTCCTTACAATGTAGGTACACAACACTATTACACAAGTTTAATAGGCAAAACTACATTTATTGCTTATTAAAGTGGCGCCCCACGTTGGGCGCCAGTTTAATAGGCAAAACTACATTTATTGCTTATTAAAGTGGCGCCCCACGTTGGGCGCCAGTTTAATAGGCAAAACTACATTTATTGCTTATTAAAATCACTGAATGTTGGCGGTGGTGGCGGGAAGGGGTGGTCGCGAGCGCGCGCCTATTGGCTTCCTGCGTTACGTTATTACCACAGATATTAATACCATAGACTAGGTTGTCTTTATTTTTAAAACCCGCGTTACACAAGTTATTTAGTAAATCAACAATAACGCGTCTTTTGAACCAGACACACTTTTATACACAGTTTCGACAGTAATTTATCTATCTGTGTGTCTAAGGTGGTCACAGTGCCCAGACGTAAAGTGCCCCCGAATCCAATGAAGACCACGAAGGTTGAGAAGGTGGAATTGAACGACTATAGTTATGAAATCTGTGGCGAGGAGTTCCAGAATGATGACGTTGATGACGATTACTCAGTCGTTGTCAAACCGGAGACTAACGATGTTACTGATGCTGTTGAGGAGTTGGTGAGTCATTTTCTATTGTAAAATTCATCTTTTCCTGATCAAAAGTCAATTATATCCTTTGCCGCACTGGGCTCGCTGCTAGCAGCGGTAAGTCCCATCTTTGAGACGCTACGGCGTCCTCACCTACCGCCTGACGCAGGTCCTCACCGGACATGGAAGTTTCGGAAGGTACCTGTGTCTGATGGGGCGGGAGGAAACGCCCGGGTGTCATCACTGCGAGGACCGCCCTGAGGACACGGTGGAACACACTGTAGCGGAATGCCCTGCGTGGGCTAAACACCGCCGTGCTCTCAGGGAAGTGATTGGCGATGGCGACCTCTCGCGTCCGGGCCTAGTGCGGGTCATAATGCTGAGCGAGGGGAATGGGCCGGGCAAAGTATTATCGGGTTTAAAAAAATCTCAATAGTAGCCTTGAGAGTTCTGCCCAGTATATGGCAATAGGCTCACCACCTATTACATGGGACTCATAACAGAAATAGTGAAGAGTGAGTGTTATATTTTACAGTGGCGTTAAGTACCGTAATGTGCACCCTATGTTCATCATCATCAGCCTGTATTCGTCCACTGCTGGACATACACCTCTCCAATGGCACGCCACTGAGCTCGGTCTTCAGCTCTTCTCATCCAACCACTGCCAGCCACCTTGCGGATGTCATCACTCCACCTAGCTGGAGGGCGCCCTACACTGCGTTTGCCCAGACGCGGTCTCCACTCTAGAATACGTTTACCCTCATGTTATGTTTATGTAATAGGGGTAGACGACTAATTTTTATTTTAATGTCCGTCTGGTAGATTATTTAAAAACATTACATTTTTTTATTTTCTCACAGAAACGAATAGTTTCGAAGATATATTGATTTGAAATGTCGCGTGACGTCACTTCTCAGTACATTTTATACAAGAAATGACGTTTAGCCCCACTCCTTAACTTGATTCGTTTTATCTAAGTATTGTTTTATTATACAACAAAATAAAAAAATACGTGTCTAATATTTTTTCATTACCTAACTTACGGACTAATTATATTTTTAATTTTCATACCCTGTCATCATCCCCATTTTTTCTCAATATTTCAGCAAGAACCGCAATCGCCACCGAAGTCGAAACGCCTTCCGAACCTCACGTCGTACAAGTGCGCGACGTGTAGCAAGGAGTTTCGTATGAAGGCCACGTATAAAGCGCATATACGTTTTCATACCAACTTCTGTGTGTGTGAGGTGAGTAGACATATAGTACGCACGGATTTGATCCATATATTGTTGTTCCGGGTCTGAGTGTCATGTGTATGTGAACTTGTATGTTTGTAAACGCACACACGACATAAGAGACAATCCCAGTATGCGGCAATTTTTTAAAAAAAGAAGAGAAAATTTAGTCGACCATACTCAAATTCCTTTTTTTTTAAAGACGGTCCTCCCGCTCTATACCTGTCTCACTCTAACGCCTTACCTCCCAGGTATGTGGAAAGAGGTGTCGCAACAACAATCAACTACAAGAACACAAGCGAGCTCGCCACGGACTCTATAAGATACATAAGTGCGCCTACTGCGAGTACAGCTCCGCCACTAAAGAGGCTCTTATTGTAAGTATCTCTGTTTTTTTTTATAATTATTTCAAATGTAGATATTGTATAACGCCTTGGTTTTATGACTTTAACTCGTCGAGTACCGGTTTTATAGACACAATTAAAGAACAATAGGTCGCGGTCACAGGTGACCGCTTGGTGTTTGACAGTTTAATGTTTTTTTTATGACATAAGCCGGTATACGAGCAGACGGATCACCTGATGGTAAGCAATCGGCATCGCCCATGGACACCTGGAACACCAGAGGCGGTACAAGTGCGTTACCGGCCTTTTGGAGGAGTTTGAGGATCGTTGGGGATTCAGGAATTGGGGAAGGGGAGGGTAATTGGGCCTCCGATAACCTCACTCACACGACGAAACACTACGCAAGCGTTGCTTCACGTCGGTTTTCTGTGTGACCGTGCCGCCGTGGTATCACTCCGGTCGAGCCGGCCCATTTGCGCCGAAGCATGGCTTTCCCACATTTAAAAATATCACTATATTAGTTAGTTATACTACATAACATAACATCGCGCCTTTTATCCCCGAAGGGGTAGGCAGAGGTGTATAATATTATGCTACTGTACAATGTAACACCCACTTTTCACTATTTATATAATGAGCCTATTGCCATATACCGAGCACAATTCCCGACTCCGTGCTACTACTGAGATTTTTTTTAAACCCAGCCCAACCCGGGAATCGAACCAGAGACCCCTTGCCCGGCAGTAGCACTTGCGACCACTTGGCCAACGAGGCATTCATATGCATGTATAGTTATTTTAATATTACAAACAGAACACACACTCCAATTTTATTTATCTGTATAGATCACCACCACCACCAAATAGTCCAAATACCGTTTGCCAAAGATTTTTTCAAAGATCAAAATTCCTTTTTTCTTCTCCCAAGATCCACGAACGTCGTCACACTGGGGAGCGGCCCTATATATGTGACCACTGCGGCGCTACCTTCCATCGGAGGTCGAATCTTGTACAGCACATTGCTATACATCTCCCCGAGAACAACTTCCAGGTGAGAAACTTATATTTACATCCTCATCATCAACAGCCTATAAATGCCCACTGCTGAGCAAAGCCTCTTCTCACACGGAGAAGGCTTGAGCATTAACCACCACGCTTGCTTGAAGGTTGGCGATTACAAACTTGTAATTAGAAATTATAAGCCCAGGTTTCCTCATGTTTCCCTTCACCGTTTGTCAGTGGTGTCTAAATAATCTTAGAAAGTACATATAACTCGTTATATGTACATAATTTCTAATTATAAGTTTGAAATCGCCAACCCGCATTGAGCAAGCGTGGTGATTAATGCTCAAACCTTCTCCGTGTGAGGCCAAAGCCCTCTGCTTTGGTCAGCAGTGGGCATTTGTAGCCTGTTGATGTGTGATGTGTGTGTGTGTGTTTGTTACTCAATCATATCAATACGGCTGAAGGGATCGGGATGAAATTTGGAACAGGAATAGATTATGGTCTGGAATAACGCATAGGTTATATTTTACCCCACGGAAATGCGGGCGAAACAGCGGGCAAAAGCTAGTATTTCATATGAGATTGCTAATGGGTTGGGTGAAGTTTTATTATGATTCTAAATATTTTCTTTCATGTACAGAGTGAAGAGTTGTGCCTCATTGTATTTGATGGTCTAACTACCTTGTGGAACTTCTGCAACTGCACAACGTGTTGTGGGTTCGATTCCCGCACGGAATAACTCTTTATGTGATTACAAATTGTTGTTCCGCGTCTAAGTGTCATCTCTCTGTGTGATGTGTATATGAACTTGTATGTTTGTAAACGCACACACGATTCACGAGACAATCCTAGACGCTACGTTATATAAAAAAAATAGTCTAGTCATATTTTACATGACCCCCTAAAACATAATGTCATATGACCCCCAAACACTAACTAAAATATGTTTTTGACCCCCAAACAGTGTGACATGTGCCCGAAACGGCTGAAATCGCGCAAATTCCTTCAGATACACAAATATAATATGCATACTGGTAAAAGATATGGTTATCTATGCAGCATATGCGAGCATAGATTTGAAAAGCCTAATAAAGTACGTGCGCATATGCGAAGGGTGCATGGAGCTGCTGATGACCAAATTGGACCTATAGCTAGAGTACAGCTATAAGATAATATTATAAAACTAAAGAGTTTATTAATTTGAACGCGCCAATCTCCGGAACGACTGGTTCGAATTGAATAATTCTTTTTGTGTTGGATAGTCGCATTTATCGAGGAAGGCTATGGGCTATGTAACATCACGCTGCGATCAATAGGAGCCAAGCAGCAGGAGAAATCTTTAACTGAAGAGTTTGTTCATTTGAACGTACTAATCTGTGGAAGTACTGTTTCGAATTGAATAGTTCTTTTTGTGTTGGATAGTCGCATTTATCGAGGAAGGCTATGGGCTATGTAACATCACGCTGCGATCAATAGGAGCCAAGCAGCAGGAGAAATCTTTAACTGAAGAGTTTGTTCATTTGAACGTACTAATCTGTGGAAGTACTGTTTCGAATTGAATAATTCTTTTTGTGTTAGATAGTCCACTTATCCAGGAAGGCTATGGGCTATATAATACCACGCTGCGATCAATAGGAGCCAAGCAATGGAAAAGTGAAGTCGTGCGGGAGCAGCTAGTAACAGGAGGTTTGGAGCAGGAGTAGGAACGGGGTGGTGTTTAGTCAGTAAGAGTCTGACACTCCCTCCCGCCTCACCAATGAGAAAAAGTAGCTGTAAAAATGCTGAAACGCCAAATCGTATATGTGTTTGTTTCTATAACTAAGCACGAACAAGAAGTGGATATTTTTTAAAGAAAACATTGGTATTATCTTGGATGGTGGTACACGATGATCCGGCCTGCTAAGGAGCACGTTTACATAAGCAACCTATTCATTTGGGCCTTGAAGACACCCAGGTTATACCCTTCAGGTAACAAGACTCTAGCAAAGAATTCCACTTCTTAGCGGTTAGTACAAGGTAACTCGAAGAGAATCGCTTTGTTCGGGTGGGTGGAACTTCTACCATATAACGGTAAAATGGGGTGATAGATATTGGGAAATTCTTGATAGTATCGATTCACCCCTCTTTTGTCCCTATTCACCTCTCGATCCCTATCCACCCCATTTTACGGCTGTGATGTTTTGCAGTTTGTCTGGCATTGTGATGATGAAATGGATTGGAATCAAGTTGTGCAATATTTATAACTTTTTATGAATAATAGAATAAAATATAATACATTGTATGGCAATCAATCGCTTTAATAAGTTTTTGTTTTTAGACATTATAACTTGCCTTAACGCATTCACTGCCCAGTGGATTTTCTCCAGTGCCCGAATTATAAGACATCCTACAGTGCCCCGCACGCACTATTGCGTTCAATGTTTGCCCTTTTCGTGTGCCCGAAACTCATATATGCGTCCGTTCGACTCTCGGCGAGTGCCCGTGACGCGTCTGTGCGTTTGTTATATACTTACGAAAATACGATAGAATATTATGTATCTGTAGATAAAAGTTAGGGTCATGACACACTGTAATGGAATTTATAATCCATAAGATTATTTATTTTATGTAGTGAAATTGAAAAATTTATCTAAATATAAACTAAGGATGAACGTAATAATTCTATAATTGGTAAGTAGGTTTATATTTAGAACATTGTTGTATTTTAACCGACTTAAAAAAAATGAGGTTCTCAGTTTGACCTGTATGTTTGTTGGTACGCGATTGGTTGAACCGATTTTGATGCGGTTTTCAGAAAAACTTCTGTTACATTTAGGGGATGGGTTTAGTATGCTAATTAACCTACTTCAAAAACAGGAGGTTGATGTTGGATTTTTAAACGTATGTCACGACGCGATGCCAGTATATATAAATTATAGTCTTTCACCATAGATATTTAGTAAGGTACTTATTATCTCGTATAGGTTTATCCTAAAACATTTCGATAGTTGGCTATAGCGCCTGGTGGATATGGTATTTAAAATCTTCAAAGGCACCGCCGTGCATTGTATTGCCGTTATCAGCAAACTAATGTGATTCTATTGTGCGTATGTAGCTAAGAGTCATATGAAATATTAGGTTTCTTGGAAAAACAATTAGGTATCTAGGTACATTTTGGCTTTAGCTCTCGTGGTATTTAAAATCTTCTAAGGCACCGCCGTGCATTGTATTGCCGTTATCAGCAAAATAATGTGATTCTATTGTGCGTATGTATGTGTTATGTGAAATTTTAGGTTTCTTGGAAAAAAAGAGATGATCGAGATAACATTGAAAAAAAATACCACCAAAGGTGATCGTAGTCTTACGTGGATATTTCTTTTTTCAATTGTTCTAAGTATATTTATATTTCGAAACGGCTGAACAAAATGATTGATTATTGCATTGGTAGTAGTAGAATAAGTTTTTTTTATAATTCGTACAAAGTGTGTAATGACCTTTATCAAAGAAATCAGATAAGGAAGTACATATGTGTAAATATGGGTTTCGAAACAATAGACCCTCGGACGCGTCGACGGGCAGCAGGTAAAAAAAGGGTCAAATGAATAGAACGCATATTTGAGTCCCGGGCACATAGCGTCGTCTCACAAAACGCACAGACGCGTCATTGGCACTGAATGCGTTAAAGCTGATATAGAATAAGTCGTAGCTTCAAGTACCGCTAGTGTGTTTGTTTTTAACGAATTGACATATGCATGTACCATGGCATAGAATTTCAGATCTCTTAGTATAAAGAATGGCAAAAGGCCTTCGATATGCCACTTTAATTTATAAATAGCACGATTGATGATTATAGATTAGGAATTTGAGGATTATGGTAGAGTCGAGGCTTTGAGGAGATTAAAAGGGGAATGGGGCATCTAATTACCTTACTCACACGACGAAACACAACAGTTTTCATTGTTCATTATGTTAGCGATTATATTATAACTGCCTCACTGGCCGATTCCCGGGTCGGGCGATGTATTTTTAATTTTCAGTAGTAGCACGGAGTGTGGATTGTGCCCGGTATATGGCAATTGGCTCACGCCCTATTACATGGGACTCATAACATAAATAGTGAAAAGTAGGTGTTACATTGTAGTAGCATAATGTGCACCTCTGCCTTCTTCGGGGATAAAAGGCGTGATGTTTATGTTATTCTCTATAAGACGAAGAACGAGACGCTCACGCTGGCGCCGTCTGGTGGACATGCGGTAGGCCCCAACGGTATTAAACAGAGTGGTGCTGAAAATCAGCGCTATGGGCTCGAGCCTTCGTGTCCGGGCCACAGCACTTTGCTGAGCTCCGGCCTTTTGCGCTGCGACGCACCATGATATTCTTTTTATGTTATTATTGTATTGTTGTCTGTATGTGTGTTGTGGCGTAATAAACGGTTTTTATTTCTTTCTTTCTTTATGTTATGCGTTATAAAGATAAAGATAGATATATTTATTTGTATAAACATGTGTGGGTAACATTATACATATGAATGCAAATGCAAATGATAAAGGGAACACTGTAACGTCTCAACATGTTTTGCCACAATTGGCGTACAAAATAATTATATATAAAACTATTAAAGAGACAACTAAAGTTAAAACATATGAAACAATTAACTTATGAATTATCATTTAATAAATCCTTAATATGGTAATAACAATGCTTAATACCTGCACTCATTCAACGCATTCAAAACTCAGCTTTACAAATATTTACTTCTTAATCAAATACCCGAAAAATGAATGTGGTGGATGGGACTTGTTTATTGTCATGGTTTGTCCAGATGTTGTCGAACCTAACCTTACCTACCTATGTTGTTATGTTCTCAAGTAAGTGACATATATGTTATTATTGAGAATAAAGATTCTTTAAACCTAATAAGTAAATTTTTCAGTTCTTTTTTTGAATTTTTTATTGTTATTTATATTTTTCAAATTATGCGAAATTTTATTATGTATTATAGGTGCCATACAAAACTCGCAGAGTGAGGCTGTAGATAATGTTTATATTTCTTGCGTCTATTCCTATTATTATTATATGAATAAAAAAAGCACATAGGCTACTTTTTATGCCACGGCAATAAAGGTAGGAGCTAGCTAAATGATAATTAAATACACATATAATATTGTAAAATCATGTAAGTTATTAAATATTTATTATTTTTAATTCCATTTGCAAAGTTGAAGCTGAAAGGGGTCTTAGGATTTAGACCCCATATAGCATTATGTCTATAGACCCCCTAAGATTTATAACATAGTTGTAATAAATTAAAAATATAATAATGTACTTATTGACTGCCATGTTATTAGAGTGGTTACTAGCTGACGTCTCGGGTTCGATTCTCGGGTCGGGAAAATATTATGCACCGTTCACTTTTTTTTAAATCACAACAGTCATTAGTATAGACGATTATTATATAGATGTAGATTAATTGACACACTACTGTTAGAAATACATAATTATGTGAAAAGGGGTTGCTAAATTGTATATGTGCTGTGCAAATCTGTCTACCCCTTCGGATATTAAAAAACTTGATGTTGTAGTTTTTGGAATGTTCGGCAAACGAGCAGACGGATCACCTGATGGCAAGCAATCGGCGTCGCCAATGGACACCTAGAACACCAGAGGCGTTACAAATTCGTTGCCAGCCTTTATGGTTAATGTTAAATTGTAGTAACTTTTTGAATAAATGAATTTTATATCATCAAAGTGTTTTATTTCAATATTTTATTCAGTATTTCAAAGTCAAAGCATTTATTTCAATTAAACTATAATTTGGTACATTTGAAACGTCAACAAATACAAAATACCTGAATAATAGTTTTTCAGTCTGTCCGTCAGTGAATCTTTTTGTTTTTGATGGGAAAAATCATCGAATGACTGCTCCCGCCTGGGTGTGGCGGGAGGGAGTGTCAGACTCTTACTGACTAAAAACCACCTCGTTCCTACTTCTGCACTTCGAGCCGGAGCCCCGGCAACTCTTTAAGTCGTCCGCGGCTCCGTATCGGCATCAGCGCTTTTGGGCCCCATCTGTGGTGGTCTGATGGCTTGTTGTGACGCGCGCGGAACGCGATGCGCCGTACGCTCGGGCCTGGTTCCTGGTCGGGCGGCGAGTCACCCGTGCTCGCCGTCCGCAGGCCCGTGTTTACA